GCCCGCAAGCATGTACACCTTTGCCATCCATTACTTTGTTAAATTACTTCACAGAGTGAAGTATACAATGTTGTTTTTTGTATCTGGGAATTTGACACGAATACTAATTCAAGGATAATTTTGTTTTCTCCTTGACTTTCAGATGAAGGTTACTTTTGCATTTGTTGCTGTCATGCTGTGTCTATGGATGAGCACCGACGCGATGCCTTTTGACACCGTAGATGATAAGGCGGACGAACCACTTTTGCGTTTCTCTCGTGGCGTAGCGTGCGCACAACAGTGCCATACCTGTGCGTTCGAATGGGGGAAATCATTCGGTCTACGCAAATGCTACCAAGATTGCAGTAAAGGAGAGTCACCAGACACGAAATGCTTGAACTACGGTCACTTCTAGGCGCTTCACACGTATTATGTTTGTCATGACTTTAGATGTATATGTTTGCACAGCCGTACAACCTAACATCCGGGAACTGTTGCAGGGGCTTTAGCAGTCAAACAACGCGATCGTTGTCCGGATGTTAAACGTGACTTACTCTGTACCTTACAAGAAATAACAAATAGAAGAATCCTTTCATTTTACTTTAATTTACATGTGTATATCAAAAGTGCTACTCACAACATTATGTTATGCATACACCAACAGTATGTGTATTATTTATAATCTACAATCCAAAAATGTAAAGAAATAAATTATTGATGTTTGACAGAAAAGTTGGTCTCATCGTTTGATTTTATCCCCAGTGGCACAGAGATAACGTAGATAGTTGTCTATCTGGGCACGTCTTCCGTAGTTCCTGTTTGTAAAAGGTCGAGCCGGGGGATTATTGGTTTGAATGATGTCTTTCCGTGAGTAGGCGTGCATCCTTTCAATCCACTTTTTTTCGTATTTACATTTGCCTGTATCGATTCAGCCACTGGCAACGAGGCAAGGCGGCATTTTTTCTTTATTTTCATTGTCATATTGGTTAATTCTGTGAACTGAATTTGTTTTTTTGTAGTTTCAATTTCTATCATATTGATTTTTTAGTACTTTCTAGACTCAATTAACATCAATATACCACGTCATTTGTAGATGATTTTACTTTATTTTAACTTTACTTCGTATATTCTACTAATCACATTGCAAAAATCCTCCTGGTTATGTAACAATATTTTCTACAGTCCACAGGGTAAAACGTTTTCGCACAGACGGTTAATACCGATAAGACGCAATTTAAAATTTATTACGTTTATTGAACCATTTTTCGACTACTATATACAACATTTGATGTATGAAAGTTGCGTTCGCTCCGGACTCTCGTCACGTTTGAGTGAATATTACATATACAGTAACTATAACAATGATACCTCGTCGAACACAGCTGTTTTCACAATCATACCAATTGTGTAGAAACACAATACTGCAAACTGAGACAAGGAGCAAATCAGAGATAATATATATTTCGCTATTTGCGCATGTTCATACCACCAAGTTTTTTGCACAGCTCGTTGAGCACTGTTTGTAATCAAACAAAAGAACAAAATATCTGAACATATAATAATAAGACAGTGATGGTTAACAATATCTGTCTAGATGTATCGTATGGTGAATTAATATTTAGTAAAAAAATTATTTTGTTATCTTTAGAAATGTCCAATATTATATTGTGCCATGGGGAGTTAAATAAGTGAGTAGTTGATTGAAAACAGATCATAATCTTATTTCACACCACCATTATTGCAACCTACCGGATTTTCTCTCAGGATTCTGGAATTGCTTGTCTGTAATTGGTGTAATGTTCCCAGAACTCGACACAGAGGGAATTCTATATTTTGTTGTTAAATACCAATTTGCGAGAATCACCACAACACATCGATCTGATCTGACCCAGTTCCTACTGGATAATAACGCCAAAGAATACTATAACGTGATAACCCTAGTCTGTCGATTAACCATTTTGAAAACAAAAAAACAAAAACATGTTAAATATTATTTATTGATGGTTTGGAATAATCTTATTCAATTTCAAATATCAGACAGAATTATCCGGATACTCGAATGAATACAAATGAATTCGAAATGGACAATGAATGGGCAACGTATTTAACCAGTGGAAGGAAGTTAACTATGGCAAGGAAAGGAGAATGACTGTGACATTTAGAAAACAACAACTCGATCGGTTAAGTATGTACATGGTATCAAAAACATGTGGGTGGAGTCATACCTATAACACGACTTGTTTAATACGCGCGGGAATTATACTTAACTATACATATTAAGTGATTCGGTATCAACAATATGACATTTCACCGTACGTTTGTTCCATATTGTTATACCCCGAACGTTTTTATTCACATAATATACAATAACCCAAAATACTTTGTTATTACCATAAAAAAAGTAGTAAAGTATCATGATGCTCATTTGATTAACCGTGGGAATAGGAAGTTTGAGAAAACAAAATAATAGACAATACAATACATGATTTTACAATACAAATTGTACACTAAAGTCACTATACCAAAAGCATGGCGAATGGTTTAACCCACATCCGACGAGTTGCAAACAAGTAGTGTAAGACACACTTTTTGGAAAATTGGGTGTTCAAAACTGGCGCACAAACCTTTTTATGGGAATGTGCATGAAAAAAGTAATTAGCTGTTTTGACAACCATGTACCTATCATATCTGACAAACAATATTTACCACCTCAGGCTAATGTGATTTGAATAATTTAAATAATCGAATAACAAATAAATACTTGAACAAATAAACTTAATTCTATTAGCTAATGTAACAAAGAGTTCTTCTCGAGGCTGAAATCACTCACACAAAGGCAGATGATCTGTAGCAATACATTTCTCACGATGCTGTAACAGTGTGTGATACACCTAAACTGAAAATGTGATGTTTTGTGTACGAATGGAAACAGTTGTCAGACGATTACAATGTTGAATTGACAAAAAATGATGATCAGAAATAGGAAATCGAAAACAGTATATTTTTAGAAATATTAAGGTAGTATCAACCCTAAGTTGTGTGTTGTTTCATTCGCCTCAGTGGAATATCAAACTAGCCTTTGGCGATACCAATGTTGCAGTCAAATTGAAAGAAGAACTTTTATGTTATTATGCTATTAAGTTTAGTATTCAAGATAGTTTAGTTTTCTTATATTTAGATAGGGTTAAGTGCCTGTATTTCATAATTATATAAATCTAAGTCTAAGAAGTAGGATAATACGAGAACGGCAGAAGGGTATAATTCTTATTCTTATTGGCATGATTAATTTATAATACCCAGCTTAGTAATGCCACCATAATTAAATTACCACTCAATCCATATATGACACTGCGCACATAAATACACCCACACAGACGCCAGTGACCTTTCACGAACACATGGATAATTTTCACTTTTTATAAATATTATTGCAGAAGTATGTTTATTTAAAGTAAACCAAAAAAATACAATTACAAATTCATAGTAACAGCAAACATGTAATTTCACCCAATAGAGCAACAGTTTATTTTAATACAATGATTATTATTATATTTGTGTAACAATATCCTCCTATGACAGCAACACAAGGAAATGTAAGATTGGGAGAGAGAAACATATTTATGAAAAAAGTGTTGCAAGATTAAAGAAACGAAGTAATAGTCGAGCATCTCTGATAAAAGCTCACACATTACATTTAATGTATAATACATCATTTAAATATGACTTAGGTCGTTGAACATGGACAGTCATTTGCATTAAGCACGTGTAAATATTCAAATGGGCAAACTCAGAAAAAACACAAATTTAGATATGGTAAGCATGTATATAATCCAATGTATAGTTTTGAATACTAATTAATTCGAAATCCAAATAACATGCACCTCTTTTTCTGCATTGCTGCTACTTATATAGTTCCATGTTCTTAGTGCTTCAATACATAGCTTTCTTTCAATCTGTAAAAAAGTAATTGTAATAATAATAACACCATGACAGCACTTATTCACAACTTACATACTCACACATTCATGGACAAGTTATAATTCTCATTTACAATGCTGTCAAGCCTAATATACTTTAGTGAAATGTACATTAGTGAAAGCAGCTGTGAGTGGTAGTTCTGATAGATACATTCATTCATTCATATTTACCCCCCCCCCCAACAAAGAATCAGTTTTGTGTCCAACTATATTATACCAATGTTAACATTCAGGAAACTTGCTTGAATCAGTACAGAAGCTAACATTATTTTATTTTGGTACCCACCAAAATATGGGATAGATTAGCATACCGGAAACACACGATCTATTTAGCTATAATTTTTTGTTTACTTCGTTATCTACATTTATATCACCTCATTATACTTACATGACGTGAATGTTTTTAATATATCAAACTTCATCAAATTAGAGACCTACACGAATACCCAAATACTTCTAATTTAAATTGTGCATTGTGTGTTGTAACCTAGATGTTATTTTAAAACTGATATTAACTATTCAATTGGCGGCATTAACTACGTACACCACCGCCATAATATCAGCGATTGCCATATTTTCTCTAGTAGAGATTACACTTGCGGAAATGAAAACAGTGTATCTATAGTAGCGAACACAAAATAACAAAGTAGTTTTATTTGATGAAAGTGTAAGCATCTTATGTCCATCTTAGTTCCGTGTTAATTAATAGACAGTTACCTAGCTGTCTGATTTTATTCTGTTATCTGTTGATGAACAAATCATGAACAATAATATTAAAATAAATACTGTGCATATCACTATAAATCGCACATTAATGTACTCTCGCGACGAATTCTAACTCGACTCCAACCGTCTATTGCCTTTCAAATTCATTGCACATGCCCTTCCTGAGGACATAGTTATCGAAAGGGACATATGCAGCTAAATCGGGGGGGGGGGCTAGAGAGTTAGAGTAGAGTTAGGTTTAGGGGTAGGGTACACTGGGAATTCTTTCCCACATTAGTACACGTTGAGGCTACTTTTACGATATCGTATTATTGTTTGTGAGAATAGTAGATTACAGTGTCAACTCTCAGATCTCACAATACATTGAAAGATTGTACAGAGAGTTATCACAAACAGTTTCATATTTTCAATCTAGAAAGATTTTTGACACTTGATTGTGCCATATATGCATATTACTTTGTTATTGCCTCTGGAATATAATCAGAATTACAAAGCTGTTTGGCACTCTCTTAAAATACACAAAACCGGTTAAGCCTGCAGGAAAAACCAAATAATGATATTCAAGTACAACATTTTCTTTTTGAGGAAACCTAGTTAACTGTTATGTCAACTATATCAGTGTGGTATTGCGTTCAGATGGTCATGGCAAACTTGAAGAAAAATAAAAAATCGCATTATTTCTTCTAAAAAAGAAAATATAAAGAAAATATAGAAATTACAACTTGACTTTTTCTGTATGACAAACTCATTCGCTCAATTTTAACGTATGGTTATATAACATATGACGTCATGAGAGTGAGTACAAAACAGCTCCAGAATAGCTGCACTTCAACTTTTACCGGTTTCTTCCGGGAGTTCATACTGTAACTAAGTAACTAATCCTGTACCATGTAATTCTTAGGGGCTCTGTGTCAGCTGCTTGTGGGACGCCATTCCAAGAGCTGGTGAAAACAGCTCAACAACTAAGACTCAACTATGGCACAATACTGGACAACGACATTCATATATGCTGTAGAGGTAATCTTATACT